CGGGGCGCTGTCACCCGGGGTGCCCGGCCGGAGTCAGCCTGTGGCGACCGGGGCGGCACGTGCCAGCCGGCACCGCTTTTGCTTGGGCCCGTTCCCCCGCCGCAGGACGTTCCCCTGTTCGGGGTGCCCTTCTCGGGAGGAAAAGGGCTGGGGCTTACCCCTGGCGGCAGGGCTTGCTGCAGGGGTGGAGGTGGTGTGAGTCTGTGGTAGGGCACAGCTGAACTCTGCAAAGAGATGCTAAAATTCTGCAGGAGGTGGATTTTTTCTCTGAATGCATTTTCATCGTTTCAGGAGTCTCCAAAGTCAACCAAAAGCACCACAAAGCCTGGCAGCGGCGGGAGCGGGAAGGATGGTGGGGCAGAGAATTCGGAAGAGGTAAGGCTTTCACCTTGGATACAGCAGTGTGCCTGTGCAACTCATCTTTGAGGAGGAATAACATCTTTCATTCTAACTGCTTCAAGCTGCTCTGCCAGATAACACATGTCACTGGGATCTTAAGGAATCAGAGAAGATGGTAGCAAAGACTAAAGTTAAGATGAAGTTAGTTCCCCTTGAAAGTTGGTCCAAAGGGAACAATGACTGTGGAAGAGACAGGATGAGTCTCATATCCTACAGTCCTGCAAAAAGAGATTTGGCACAAAGCTGACAGTGAGCGCTGCTCGCAGAGGTGGGCAGAGCCTGGTGAAGTTGGCTGCAGAGAGGAAAGAGCCACAGTTATCAAGGAGGGAGCCTGACAGACGGGAGCAGCTTCCTTGCTTCTGTCGGAGCAAAGCACGACAAACTCTGTTGTCACCTTGTGTCAGAGTGGGAGAGTAGTGAGAAGCAGTAGAAAAGGAACATGTTCTTCTGAGACATTTTCTGGGGGTGTGAGATTAGGAAGTAATGGATAGGACACTTAAAAGAATAAAGGTAAACTGCTGGTCACTAAATGGTTCTCCTTTGGTATAACGCTCTTGTTGCTGAACACAACATTACTCACAAGAAGGCACAGTCTGTATTCCCAGCTGTGCAGTCTCTTTCGCTCTCAGTTTTGATGTTGCCAAGCTCAATGTGTTAGAATGGCCTCAGCAGAATGTGATGATATGATAAACTGTGCTTGGAATTAGCAAATACATTGGGTAAACTGGAACTTTTCTGTCAGACTTCAGTTTGTCCAGCACTCAAACGGCATGGCTGTGGATTTTGAGACTTGGTTCAGAAGAGCGTTGTACGCATGTTCAAGGAAGCATGCATATGTGTGTGGTTTTGGTTTTTTTTATATACTGCAATTTGGCAAACAAGCTGTGCCACTTCTATGTCTGTAGGAGCTTGTGTGCTTGATTCTTGTCTGGAACATGTTGCACTTGTAATTTAGAGGACTGGGGATAGGAGACATGTAAGGCTAATGAAGACTAGGAAGAAATCTGTAGTGCAGTGGGGTGGTTTTAGTCAAAAAAAGGTTGTTTTAGAGTGTCCTTCAAAGCATAGATCTGTGCTGCAGAGCCTCAGAAAATATCCCTGCTGCTAGCCACTCGGTTTCAGGATCCAAACCATGCTCATGCCTAACCTGCAATGTGACCAGCCAGGAATCAGAAGCTGAGTTTGTTTGCCTTGGAGCAGGTAGCAGTTTTGTAGATCCTCTTTTTATATCCCATCTCGGTCTTGGCCTCTGCCTGTTTTATTTTGTATATCCAGCTGAAAACAGCTTGCTGGGAGATCTGTCTGCCGACTCCAAGGAAGTGAGAGAACTCCTGCCTTGGCGTCATGAGGTCAGGCTTACCTTTTATTTATTTGGCATTCTTTGTCTACTGAGCTCACAGCTCAGGGAAGGGGAAGGGAAGCCTGGGTCTTGCAATGCGAGGGTGATGGATAGGCATCAAAGCAGAGCGCTCTGATGTCCCCATCCAAATCAGCGGTGGGCTGTGGCGCTGCTGTCCTGGTTACAAGTGGTGCAGTAAGAAAGGAAGAATAGTGCAGGCCACAAGCTTCCTTCTGTGACCTGAAACGGCCCATAATGTCTCGTTGTGCCTGGGTGCAGAAGAAACTTAGAAGTGATGCGTCTAACCTTCCCTCCCACAAAACATACCCAGCCACTTCCTCATACTCCAAACAAAATCCAGCCCTTCTTTAAGATGGAAGGCTGGGTCTCCTTTGATCATAGGAACAGAGAGCAGAGCAGAAAGGAGACACCTCTGCAGCGTGCACTGCCACAGGTCTCTTCTCCCTTTCCGTGTTGAGTTTGCAGTGAAGTTTATTCTCTCTTGGTGCTTTCCTGCCTCTGGACCACTCTGCTGCAGAATGGAAGAGAGCTCTTTTTTTGATGAGAAGAAATGTATACCAGTTTGAGTGCGATTTTCCTGCTCTTCAGGAAGCGCAGAAAGGTATTTTGACTTTCACATTGGGGGACCGTGTAGGTTACGTGTGATGGGAGCAAGGCTCCTTCCTTTTATCAGAAGCAGGAGGTGGTTTGACTTGGAAAGCACCAGGAGTGGTATTGCCTGGTGGGGTTGATGGGCTGAGCCTAGCCTGGATGCCTCTGCTGCCATTGTGAGAGTTTTGTGCCCTGTAAATTCCTCCGTGGAGTTGTGGTTGGTTGGTTGCCTTTTCTAGGGTGAAAGTTGTGTCCACCAAAAAGAATCTCAATAGGTGCTTAATGGGCTTGCAGCAGGAGGGCAGCATTTGGGCAGCCCTCTTCCAGTATCTGCTTTCCTCTCTCACACCATGCTCCAAGGAGCAGGGGAGGACTCAGCCCTAATTTATCCTGGTACCAGAAAGTTGTGACTTGTTTTGCAGGCAAGTTGTCTGGCTGGTGGAATGAGTAAAGCTTGTTGAAGAGCAGCTCTGGTTTGACAGATCTGAGCAAGTGTAGCAGACAAGGACCTCCTATGGGAATCTCTGTAGAGGGAGCTGAAGAGGGTAGGAGTCAGCCTAGAAACCCTTAAGCATAGTGCTTTGTTCTCTGCAGCAAAGGAGCTTTTAGTGGAGCTGATGTGGAAGAGCAGATATGTTCAAAAGCAGATGCATCCCCACAAGGGAAGGCAAGTGTTTTGAGCTCCCTCATAAGTACAGTGGTAGCACAGTGTTCTTTTAGATGCCTGTCTTAGGGTGAAGCTATCTGAGCTGAAGGGCCAACAGAGTTTGGCCAGCACCTGGCTTTGCAAGGGCAGTTTGCTCGGGAAGAGACAGGAGCAGTGGAGGAAAACACGAGAGCAGGGAGTGGGAAATAGAAGGTTTATTTAGTTCATTCCCTCTTAAACATGGTAAAGATATGAATGGAGAGAATTTCTGCATGGCTATTTAAGGAGAAAAAAAGAAATAATGTCAGAGACCAAGGCAGCATTGAATAAGAATTTCTCCTCCTGGCCAGAAAGACTGGGTGAGGCAGCTGGGTGGGGAAGAGAGTTAATGACCTGGAAGTGGGAGCAGGGATTAGCAGCAGCAGTAAAGAGAAGAGAGGAGTTGCTCTGCAGCCTCAAGGGCAGCTTGGAGCCTCACTGATGAGATTTGCAGCTCTGGGAGAGGGTGCTCCTTTTCACCAAGCTGCTGTATTACGTGTTTTGCAGATATCTCCATGGGGCTTGTTACTGCAGTACCTGGAGTTCATTATTCAGGGACAGGCGTTACAGTGTGTTGTTACTTCTGAGGCAGAGAGCTTGATTTTAATAGGGAAGCTGTGTAACAGCAGACAAAGAGAGCAGGTACTGACTTGAGGGATGGGAAGAGTCATCTGAGGAGGAGGAGCTGAGAGCAGATCTGGGCTGAGAAGCTTAGCAAGCGGGGGATGCTCAAGGGACCAGTGAGGCAGAAGGGCTTTCCAACTGGCGATGCACCCAGCCGCGGTAGGAGGGCCTGCAGAGGTGAGGTCATGGATGGGTAGGAGAGCAGAGGAGAAGCTGGCACAGCTCAGGGTGGCTGGGGAAAGAGGGTCTCTGTCCCTGGGAGCCTGGAGTGAAGAGAAACGACACAAAGCCAGCCCAGGGCCCGAGGCTTATTGACTTGTGCAGGCAAGTTCCCAGTAAGGAGGAGAGGTGGTGGGAACCAGTGGGGAGGAAGTGCTATGAAGCCAGGGAGCCCGCGCTTGCGGGAGTTGGAATGTGATTGCAATTGGGGCTGACCGGTTCTGTTGGCATGAGTAGCCGCTCCACTGCAGCGGGAAAGGTGGGGCTGCTGCACCGCGCTTGGGTGAACCGCTTTATGCTGTGCTCCGGTCGCTTCAGCACGTGCAGCGTAACAGCCACTGGCAAACAGTGTCTCCCAAGCCTTCAGTTTTGCCATGGTCGTGTGAGCCCTGCCTGTCAGGAAGGGGCTGAGCCTGATCGGGTGGATGTGTGCTTGCAGCCATGTAGTGGTCAGCTGGTGTTGATGTCAGGGAAACAGTCTGTGAGGTTGATAGCTGGGCATTAAGAGAAAAGCTTTGCGTTTTAGCAGTCTGCCGTGTTTTCAGGGATGGAAACTGCAGAGAAGAAAGTGTTAGGAAACTTAAAACAAGCCTTTTCTGATTCATGTGGCCAAGGTAGGAGGTGTTGAAGGCAGAAGGACAGCAGGCCTGCCACAGGAAGCACCTCCTGAGAGCAAGTATTCAGCCTTGTGCCAGAAAGTCCGTATAGAAGCAATCCTAAACCCCTCTGAGCACTGCAGCGTGAGACTATATCTGACCTCCCCCATCATCGGATTTTCTCTAGCAAACTCAGTTGTGTGATTTTTGCTTTTGTCTGTTTCTTAAATAACTAACAGCTAAACCTGAAGCTACATTTTGTCTCTTCAGGCTAGCTGTTGAAGACTGTAGAAACTGGTGTCAAGGACTTTTCCAGACCCCTGATGAAGGCAGTATGGCTGCAGTGGTACACACAATATGCTCAGAACATATGCCTGTGGCATATCTGGGTGGGTAGGGAGTGCACAGGCATCTCCTGTCAGCTAGGAGGACCCATGTGTCCTGCTTCGCTCAGTGTTACCTGTGAGGCCATTGATGCATCTTTTGTTTCTCTCTATACCATCTTTTCTCTGTGGTGGCTCAGCATTCAGATTTTGACCTTCTTCCCTGTGGAAGGAGAGTGATGCAGAGCAGAAGACTGGCCTTCCCAAAAGCATCTGGACAACATCTGAGTGGCTCATGCTGCCCTGTTACCCAAATACTCAGGGTGAGAAATTAATTTCTCACTCTCGGAATGTTGCCAGCAAGGATTCAACCTGACTTAAATGAAGAGAGACCGTTATTCAGGATAAGTTGTCTCCAATTTGTAGTCTGGGCCTGCTTTGTCTGGCAGACACAACTGTTTTCATCACAAGCTTATCTTGCTCCCTCCTCTCATCGTGGGACAGTGCTGCTCCATGAAAGGAATCAGATCAAATCTAAACTGAAGAGAGTTCAGATCTTGTTGTCTCCCCCAACCTTGACTTGGAGCTGGACTTGAAACAGAACCACTTAAGATTTCCTTCAAGCAGAGCCAGACCAGAACCAAAATATTTCTGATTTCTGGTTCAAAGTAATGGCTTGACAAAACAATTGGTGTTTTGTGATGGGCGCTGTTTTTCACCAGGAGTCTTTGCACTTGCTCTACAGATCCTAATCTGTAGAGCAGTGTCTCCTGTAGGCAGCTTTCTCCATTCCTGCCTTGCTGCCTCCCCATGTGCTGTGGGTGCAGCAACTCTTGCTCTTGTGCTGTGGTGCTGTGCTGCACCTCTTTGGAAACCATTAGGACTCCGTTCAGGGTAAGGACTGTGCAGGGTAAGCTGCAGCTCAGCTGCTCCTCACAGGAAGAGACTGGCAATATATCATTTGGAGGAGAGCTCTGATGAGCTTCTGCAGTGCTGGTGCTTTCCCTCAAAATCCTGCTGGTCAGTGTTCTGGGGAGGTGTGCATTTGTGCCGCTATGCTGCATGTGGCAGCTGGGAGTTTATGTGGGAAGGAGGGGGTGATGTCCAAGGTTTCACCCATTTCTGCTCCCCATCCATTGTGCTATCCCTGTTGTTTCCTAAACAGGTTCACCCTGCAGCTCCCTGACTTCATGTGCCCGTGGGAAGGAGGTGGCAGAACTGAGGAAGGGAGCGTTGCTGGGCTTGTGCAGCAGAGCCAGACTAGTCTGAGTGCTGTCTCCAACTGAGTCCTCTGCTATAGGCTTACTGGTGGGATGTTGCCCTCTTCCATATTAAGTTTTCAGTGAGTGAAAGGGTCAGTTATTCAGCCATTATGGCCCAAGTGGGACTTGAACCAGCAGAGCTTCAGCAAGGTCAGAACAGAGCTGAGCTGAGCAAACACTGGCTTGAGTTTCTGGTCACCTGCTAAAAATAAGAAAGCGCCTCTGTAAGTGCTGTTTAACAAGCATGAAGTTAGAAGAATGTCTGCTGAGGGAAAGTGCAGGCAAAGAGTTTGTGTGGCTAAAAGGGGTGATGTGGGAAATGCAAATTGACAGGAGAACTCCAGACAGCAGCGAAGCTGAGGCAAGGTGGAGATGTCGGAAGCAGCCAGGGCAGGCTGGAAAAGCCCTGGGACCTAAGGTTTGGGTATGGCCTCTGTGGTTTGTAGCCTAGCAGCTCCTGGTCTATGGATGCAGCAATGATTTTAGTGGTCTTCACTATTGCCTTTCAAGGGCTGTCATGTCTGCCCTGCATTACATGCTGCTTTGCTTTTTCCCAGGTGGTTCCCTGCACAAGGGTGAGGAAGTAACTTGCTGGTTTTCAAAACTTGTTTTCTGTGTGTTGTACAGGGTGCTGTAATTGGAGGCAGCAGCACACTAAAATTTTTGTTTGGACCATGGAAAGTTCTTATTTCTGCTTTTTTCTGTCAACAAACTCCTGTAACTTGTTGCAAGATGTGGCTTTGCTTTCCATATCCCTAGCACCTGGTGTGCCGAGTGGCTCTGGTGCCTTTGTGGTACGTCACAGGTTTGAGTAAAACTGATGTTCACTTTGCAGGTATACTGCAAATGCAACCAACAGGCTAGAGCCCTGCAGGAGTGGGTGAGATGCACTGAATTGCAAGTGCAACAGTGAAAAACGTGCCCAGTTTCTTCAGTCCAAGAAGCTGCTGATGGTATGTGATTGCTTGTGAGGCCTGTAGGTGAAAGCTTTTGAGTTGTTTTATTCTCTTCTCCCTCATCAGGCGCAGCAGCCTCAGCAGCAGCCTCAGCAGCCACAGCAACAGCAGCAACAGCAGCAGCAGACAACTTCCAATAAGCGGCCCAGTAACAGCGCTCCCCCACCAACCCAGCTGAATAAGATCAAGTACTCGGGAGGACCCCAGATTGTGAAGAAGGAGCGCCGGCACAGCTCTTCTCGCTTCAATCTGAGCAAAAACCGGGAACTGCAAAAGCTCCCAGCCCTTAAAGGTAAAGAAGCTGTAGGGTGAGGATGACCTGCATGACAAGCTGCACCTTCTCCACGCCAGAGTGTGGTGGTGTAAGAGCTCTTCCCAAAGTGATCCTGGCAGTGTCCTGCTAACCTCCTGCTGGCAGCATGGCAGGGATGGCTCTGGGAAAGGTGCTTGGCTTGGCAGCAGGTTGAGAGTTGATGGATAGCCTAGAAGAAAAGGAGGATACTGAATGTGAACTTCAGTACTTGCCTTCCCATTTGAACTGATTTAAACCCTCGTGCTTATACGTACTTAGAATTGCCTCAGATTCTTCAGCAGGTTGTGCAGGCAGGTGGTGAAGTGTAGAGACCTTAGTGCAGACTGCTCTTTGTTCCTACAGCCACCTGTTTCTGGGAGAGGACCAGGCCGCCACCGCCGCCTCCTCCTCCTCCTCCGCCTCCTCCTCCTCCTTGTGTTTCCATTGCAAATTATGGTAGTGCTATTGAACTTGTCCACATTAGGGCAATTACCCAGCATTAGCAGTTAGTCTACATAATGGAGCAATTAAACATGACTTAAGTGCGGACAAGGAGAAAGCATTTTCAGCAGTCACTCATCCAGACCTGTTGCTGACATTGCTCACAGAAACAGGCAGTCCTTTTAGGAACCGCAACTGCCTTGCAGCCCAGCAGCCTTTCTGCAAGCAAGAGGTGAGTTTGCCTGATTTGGCTTGGCAGTGCATAGTTTCCAGTGGCAACATCTCAAAAAGAGAATGCTGTTAATATAGGGCCTCTGCTACCTTGGCCCCTCTCTTCTGGGCTGCTGCCTGGGAAGAGTGTTAGCCTGCAGTGTTCTCTGCCCAGCTTCCTTTGTGACTGTGGGGTGCAGGGCATGGGTGTTACTGGTCTGTGATGGGAGCTAGTTAAGTGAGTTTCTTTTTCAGTGTACATTGTACTGGGAAGGGATTGAAGCTTACCAGATCAGAAACTGCTACCATATTTGAAATCACCTTGTGGGATAGTTGCTCCAGAGGCCTTGCAATCCCTCTGCCCCCACTGTCCCATCTCCATAGCAGGGATAACACTGCTTCTCCCTCTTCCCCCACCAGCTCAAGGGGGACTGTGATGGGGGAGGGGGAGTGCAAGACAGGGAGCAAACCACAGTGATACCTGGGCAAACCACGAAGATGTTCTACCTATGTCTCCAAGGACAGATATCCCTGCTTTCTCTGACAGATGCTCCTCCACATGAACGAGAAGAGCTTTTCATCCAGAAGCTGCGGCAATGCTGTGTGCTTTTTGACTTCATCTCTGACCCCCTCAGTGACCTGAAGTTCAAGGAGGTGAAGCGAGCAGGTCTCAACGAGATGGTGGAATACATCACACACAACCGTGATGTTGTCACTGAGGCCATCTACCCTGAAGCTGTTATCATGGTAGGGCATGGGCCCACTACGTGCTTGTGTGCCAAAGAAATAAGGACTGTTCAGAAGCATGGGGGGAGGAGGGGGCAGGGATTTGTCAGAGAGGAGTGTGATCCCAGTCATACCCATTCCTTGTTACCTGCCCACCACCAGAAAGAGAAGGGGGCGTGGGTGACAGTGCCTGCTGTAGGGAGAGGTGGAAGCTCTTGTCTCTGGCGCAGTCTGCACTTACGGTGTTCCTATGCAGGCTGTAACCCTACAGCCTCTAGGGAGGGATCTGTTTGTGGTCACAGCTATGGCAAATCACAATGTGTTGCTCTGCAGTGAAGAATTTGCTACGGGGAGGACCATCGTGAGGTGCAGGGATATCATTCATACACCTTTTCACTCACCTCAGTTTTCAGTGAACCTCTTCCGGACACTCCCGCCATCATCCAATCCCACAGGGGCGGAGTTTGACCCTGAGGAAGATGAGCCTACATTAGAGGCTGCCTGGCCGCACCTTCAGGTAAGGAGGAGGTGGGGATATAGATCTGGTGAATTTATTTCCAGGAAGTTGAGAGTCTGTGTAGTGCTGGCGCCTGCCAGCTGTGCCACTGGCTGCTCCCCCAGCCTGTGAGGGTTGCTGGTGAGGGGACGGGAAGAGACCAGGCCTGCCACTCGTAGGTCAGAGGTGGCCTGTAGGCAATGCAGGCAGCACAGGTGTCCTGGAAACAGGCTGGTGGCTCTGTGCAGCATTCACCTGCAGATGTCCCACGTGTCCATGAGGCAGGCTGGGAGTGAACAGTTTACTGGGAGTGAGGGAATTGTGCTCTATTGCCTACAGAAGAAGCAATTCCCAGCAGTGTTAATGTCCCTCCCAAAGACTCAAGAGCCCTTGTCGTCTGGGCTTCAGCAGCATTGGAGACAGCACCCATCTGCTTCAGCACTCCTCTCCTTGCCCAGTTCCCTGGGAGGCACATGGAGGAAGAGGACTGCTTGGTGCCAAAGTAGAGCCTTTGTGCTGGCACCTGCTAACATGTCTCCTGTATGCTGGATGTAATTCAGTTTTGTTAACTGGGAGCAAATGTTTGACCAGAAAAGACAGGGAACTGGAGGGAAGGAAAAGGGGAAGGGAGCGAAGGATCTTTTCATTAAGCTGTGTGTCCTGAGTGTCATGGGTTAGGGCTGGGCTGGCCACTGTTTTTCCAGACAGTAACTGCTTCTAGCAGTGAAAATGCTCAATGTTTATAGTTAATACCAAGGGATGGTATGGAGAAAGACTCTTGCTTATACTTGCTCCTGTAAGCAATGACAGATGCTCTCTATTGACCCCTCTCCCTCCCCAGAAGGAGAAGGGAGAGAGAACAAGGGAGAGAGGCTTATGGATTGGAAAAGAAAACTAAAACAGCTTTAATGAAACAATAACAATAATAAGAAAAGATAAATAATGAGAAAATAATAAAATATGTACACAAAATGAATACTGAATCCAACCCCTACCCCCCCTGACAGTACATTGCCACTAATGGTGCAGGGCTGGCACTGGGGCAGTCCCAGGCTGGACTCGGCAGCAAATGGGGTTGGGATCACAGACAGAAGAAGAAGAAGAAGTTAACCCTCGTGATTACTCAGCTTTATACTGGATATGACATGTATGGGATGGAACAGTTGATTGGTCGGGTTTGGGTCATCTGTCCAGCTCGCTCCTCCCTGCAGGTGTGACCTTTCACTTCGCTCTGACCCTTTTTCACTTCCGGCACTTCAATACAGGATACAGAATTTAAGTGACCTTGGTTGCTTATGGGAGCAAGTATAAGCAAGAGCCTTTCTGCCTACCATTCCTTGGTATGAACTATAAACATCAAGTGTTATCACTGCTAGAAGCAGTCACTGTCTGGAAAAACACGCTGTTGATTTCAGAAAGTGCGTTTACTTAGAAAAGATTTAACTGAAAAGCAAAATCACTGAACAGAATTACTTCTTGTTTAGCTCAAACCAGGACACTGGGAAACAGACTTTAAGACAACATAGGTGAAAAGGGTTATGAAAGCAACAGTAAGCATGGTTTAGCAGAGCTCAGCAGTGGAAATCAGGAGGTAAGCTTATGGGGGTCTCCTCAGGCACTTGCACAGGGATGTGTTGTCAAGCAGACAAAGGCAGAACAAGAGCCAGGCACTGCAGAATGAAGCAGAAAATACAGAGAGGAAGGTAGGTGCAGTTCTGCAGTAGTGCTTAATCACTTCTCACTGCTGCTGTTGACATAGGGATGTGAACATTGATAGAAATGGCATGTCCTGCGCACCAGAGTGCTATGGATGTGAGGAGGAAGCATTCGTTTCTCAGAGTTAAGTCAGCAGCAGCCAGCATGGATTTGTGGCAAATGTGTGCTGAGTTTTTTGGTCATCACCTCAGTTTTTTTCTGTGCTGCTGTCCTTGGCAGCTGGGCCCTGTGGATGAGGGGCCCCATAGCTCCTTCAAATCCAGAGTCAGACCTTTGAGATGCAGTGCCCTTGTTTGGCCTAGAGGCCCTTCAGAAGTGCTAGGCAGGGTCAGCCCTGGGATGGACTCGTCCCCCTAGGAGGACAGCAGGACCAAAAGTTGCTGTTTCAACACTGACAGCCTTCTTAAAGCAAGCTGCCCTTTGTTGTCCAAGTGGGACACAGCATGCAGCTTGCATGGCTTAGTGGGGCCAAGCCGGTCTGGAGTTAGTCCCCAGGAGGCAGATGACACAATGTGTTTTTCTGGAGTCTGTTTCATTTTTCTGCTTTTCTGTTCTTCCTCGAGGTGTCTTACGGGCTTCCAATGAAGCCTGAGCCTTTGCTGTCTCCTCGGGTTTCTGTTCTCTGTAGACACATGGGCTGAGGGTGGGAGAAGAGTTTCCCAGGCCTGCTGTCTTCATCTGAGTAGGTGGCTGTTGTCTTTTGGTGGGACTTGAGGTGATGAGATCTCATGTGGACTTGGGCAGTTATGTGCCACCAGTCCCCTGCCCATCAGAGCAAGGGCAGCTGAATTGATCCCACTGGGTGGGGAAGCCCTTGTGTTCTTATATTTTCTGTGCTCTCATTCAGGCTTCCTAGCCTTCCCCTGAATCCTTAAGGAGAAGGAAAACATTTAAAGTCTGAAGTAAACACTGATGAGAGGACTGGGGCGGGGGGATTTCTAAGTAATCTCTCCTTCTCCTTCCATAGCTGGTGTATGAGTTCTTCCTCCGGTTCCTGGAATCACCTGACTTTCAACCAAACATAGCCAAGAAATACATTGACCAGAAGTTTGTACTATCTGTAAGTAATCATTGCCCCTGCCACTGTGCAACACCTTTATGAAGGACATGCAGCAGGTTTTGGTCAAGGTGCTGTGCAAACAGTCCAGCGGGTGCTTGATGATGTGGGTTTTCTTTTTTCCTTTGACTAGTCTTGAGTGAGCAGCCAGAATTCTCTGTGTGTGTGTGAGCTGTAGTCCCTGGAACTCATCACTCACTGTACAGGTAGAGAGGGGGACTGGGGGACTTGCAGCGGAAATCTGGGGACATGCAGCTTTGTTGAATGTGCAGGCCATCGCTGTGCCCCTGAAGGTAAAAGAAGTGCTGATGGTTGCAGCTTGTGACTAGGAGGCTGCATGTTTCAGGGAAGCAACCACTGTGCTCAGGGTGCTGAAGGCATCACTCAACCAAAAGAGCTACTTTTGCTGAGCAGAAACAGTGTTTCTAGTAGCTTTTTCCAGACAGGCAGCATGCAGACACTTGACTGAATTTCGCTCCCCACAGCTGCTGGATCTCTTTGACAGTGAAGACCCCAGAGAAAGAGACTTCCTAAAGACTATTCTGCACAGGATCTATGGGAAGTTCCTGGGTCTGCGAGCGTATGTGAGGCGGCAGATCAACAATATATTTTACAGGTGAGATGTTTCTTGGTGCTGCTGGCCTAGTGAGTGGGTGGGACAATCCAGTGAGATAAATTTGGGGCACTAGGCTGTGATTCTCTCTGATCCAGACTGTGATTAGCTAAGTGACTCAGTTATGCCACACTGCTTTGGTAGGGATAGCGTTCACTTGCGTGTAAGAGCGGTGAGGACATGATAGCACGGTCTTCAGCGCAGATAGCAAATGTTGGGACCTGTGAGCTTTAGCTGTTCTGTGGGCCATGAATTTATTTGCTTCTATCTCTTACACCTTGCCCTGTCATCTTGGAGTTCTGTTATTTGCTAGGAAACTCCCCGTCTCCAGTGGTTTTTCTTCCTTTTGTTTATCAAACTGTGTCCAGCGTTTGGCAATGACGTCTCATTCTTCTCTTTTGTTTAGGTTCATCTATGAAACAGAGCACCACAATGGGATTGCAGAGCTGTTGGAGATCCTGGGGAGGTAAGGACACTTTTGGAAGTCCCAGAGGGCCCATAGTGAACAAGACCTCCCAGCCCAGCATGCTGTATAAGCTGGCAGTGCCTTCCTTCAGCAGTTCCTGGAGGAGCCACCTCTTCCAGAGGATCCCAGTCCACACAGTGAAAGTAATCTCCAGCTTGTCAATAAATGCAGTGGTAGCTTTCTCCTCCCCAGATTTGTCTCCTGTTCTTTTGAGTCCGGTCACACTTGCTGTCTTGCCTCAGCAGGCAGTAAAAGAGTTCCTCACAGCCCTGAGAAGCCTTAACAGTGGGTAGCCTTCTCCATGGCTTCAGCTGCCCTTCTGTTTGCAGTCCTCTCTTATGCTGCCATCCTGTAAAGTACAAGCCTCGAGGACTGGGCTCCCTCTGTGCTGGCCTTCCCCAGAGGTTCTGCTTAAGTGTGTGTGGGCTGAGCCCGGCACAGGACAGAGCAGAGCTCAGGCCCCACCAGAGGCATTTCGCTGCCGTGCCTGCTGAGGAAACACTCTTGCTGAGCGGGCTACGCAGGTTGGGCCCCAGAGACCACACTTCTTCTGGTGGGTGCTTTCTCAAGTGACTAATAAGAGCTAGGGCAAGTCACTGATTCTTTTGAGGTAAGAGATACTGAATTTCTGCTGGGTCAAGATGTTAATGAAACTTCTGTTTCTTCTCAGCATAATCAATGGTTTTGCTTTGCCTCTGAAAGAAGAGCACAAGATGTTCCTCATCAGAGTCTTGTTACCACTGCACAAGGTGAAGTCTCTCAGTGTCTACCACCCGCAGGTAAGAAGTGCTTCAAGTTCCCAGGGCAAAATGTGATTCTTGCAAAGGCCATTGTTTAGGCTTGCTTATAGCCATTCACCAGGCTGCATTACTGTGTTGCGTAAAGTTCTTGCTGTGGGATGTTTTGGGCTCTGCACTAGTCCCTTACTGCAAGGGATTGTCCCAGCCTTGCAGTGCCTGAGCCTGCATGTGTACGTGCGTGCTCTTTGCCACTGGCAAAAAGGGTATCCTGCTGTTTCCTGCTAGCTTAGTGCTGTAGTCTGCTTTGCCTTTCTGTGCTGGAAGTTTGTGAAATATTGGTGCCCTGCTGAAACCAGAGAGGTAAAATTCCAAGCTGTGATCATCAGCCTGTGCGTGTGGAGTGTCAGTCGCTACTCACTGCTGAGATAGGTGGAGAAATCAGTGTGCTGGGCTGCTAGGCTGGCATAGAGATTAATTTCTTGCAATTTAGAGTACATAATAGAAGAGTAGAGAAGATTGGGACTCAGGCTAGGAACTGAAAAAGTATGGGTGCTAAGCAGTGATGTCCATTCTCCCAGCCTTGTTTTTATGGGGCAGGGCTTTGTTACAGTCAGGTTTGTTCCTTCCCATCTGTGCTTGCATTTGAATGTCTTAGCTGCGGACTACTCTAGGTGGCTCAATTTTTATCCTTTAGGCTGCACGAATGTCCTGAGCTCAGGCCCTGCCTGCTTGGTCTTCAAGCCTTCACTTGTTGTCAGAAGAGCTGGATTTGTTTGGAGCCACAACTGTCTGATTGTCACACACGCTGTGGAAGGCATAATGTGACTTCCAGCCTAGGGTGGTGGTGGCATTTTAATCTTGGGTACTCTTGAGGAAGCTCTAATCTTGCCATGTTTTTTTTCCTGCAGTTGGCGTACTGTGTTGTACAGTTCTTGGAGAAAGACAGCAGCTTGACAGAGCCAGTGAGTAACCTTGCTAACCTCTGTGTGTCAGCCAAGTCCCAAAAAGCTTCATGGTTTCCTTAAAGTACAGCAAGGGTGAAAAAAGACTGAAGAGGCTGGGAATCAACTGGATTGTTTACTGGCTTTGCCTGGTACCCCGTGGGCAGAAGGGGCTGTGCTGCTTATGTGCAAGCCTTTAGCATTCTCTCCTGAAAGCTTCAGGAAGGTGGGCTATAGTCTTCCTTTGTGCTTTGGATCTTGGTGTAGCAGAAGGAACACTGTACCAAGCTGTCCTTTCAGGGCAGAGCTTTCAGCTAGTGGCAGATGCTGCAGAGACAAAACACATGGCCATCTGATATCTGATGGAACCAGTGTGAGCTGGTGGGGGCCCCGAAATAGTAAGAGTTCACTCCAGGCTGCCGAAGTTGGCTGAAAAACTGTGGGGATGAGGTTAGGAACCTAGGACACGATGGTCTACTTAGGCAAGCCACTGTTTCTTGATGAAAGTATTCTCCTTCCTGCTCTAGCGTCAGTTTGGTACCTCTATAGTGTTAAGTGACATTGTAGACACATTTCCCTTCAGGATGTAGTGCTGGGAAACAGCAGGTTCTAAAATGTGTGAGCAGTGTAGATGGGGACCTCACATATTCCAGTTACTGTCTGCGCAGACCTGCCGTGTTAACCAGGCTATATGCCGGCTTGGCAGAGGGTGCAAGCAGGAGACAAGTGTTTCTCCACCCACTGCAGGCCAGGAAATGTCTTCTACAGAGCTGAGCTTCACAGCCTCAAAACAGCAGATGGCCGAAGAACGCGTGCTTGTGTCACTGTCGCAGGGAGCACCAGAAAGTGTGAGCATTTTAATGAGTAACGCTAGCTGAGGTCGTTCTGTTCTCTGGCTGAAATGTGTGCGTTCGTGGTGAGCCTGACTGTGCTCAGTGGAAGCTGGTCAGCTGTTGTCAGCTTTCTGACTCCTCAGCTCTGACACCAGCAGTGCTGAAGCAGATCTACCAGCTTTTCCTTTAAATGTGGCTCCTCCATTTCCTGTGTTCCTAAAAGCCTGCTCTGAAACAAACTGCGTTAAGTAGCTTCCTGATCATGCTGAGTACTTCCTGTGGCTGACATCCAGCCCAACAGCCTCCTGCCAAAGCACTTACTGTAGGGTGAGGGAGAAGAGAGACACAGAAATCTGCCAATATTTCTAGGATTAATTTTGCAGCTTATTCAGGGGATGAGCAGTGTAGATGGGTAGTGAGTAGAGTAGTGAAGTTCCATAGCTCATCACTGCTTCCTAGGTAATGGGTTAATAGCCCCTGGATTAGATACCCAAGTCTGATTTGGTGCTTGTGGAAATCAGTGGAATGACCCAATTTCATTACCTTCAGTGTGTGTTGTGTCTCAACCAGTTATACCGAGGCTGTGCAGCCATAGGTTGTGTCCGGTTGAAGCATCCTGCTCGTGAAGGTTTTGAATAGGCTCCTGAGATGACTAGGGTTATTGAAGTCTCGAAGAATTACAGGGCTTGTGCATCAGCAATGCTATGAATGCACTAGGAGATGTTGCTACCAGTGCTGGAAGGAGGCCACATCACTCACTAGGTCCGCACTCACTTAGAGTGGGCCTCCCAGAAGCTTGCTCAGCAAGGCTTGACATGGTAGCTCTTGCGTTAACAGCAGTCTGAATGACTGCCAGGAGAGCAAGGCCTCAGATGGGCTCAGTAATAGCAAAGACAGACTCGATGCACCTCTCAGCACTTTAGCTGTAGGAGAAATTACATCTGAGTCACTGAAGCTAACTCTTGCCTGAATGGCAGCCCTGAGTAATGACAAGCACTGAGGACACCAAACTGTTGGCTTTTTGAGCCTTGAGTTGGGGGAAACGTAATCCTCAGATGTTTCTTATGTTGCTGTTGCACTGCCTGCTACTGTCCCTTCACTGCTGTGGAACTTCCTCTCGAGTGCTGGCTTCAGGATCAGGTTGCTGAAGTACACAGAGTTTGAAAGAGCAACTCCTACCACCAGTTGTGTTGACTCTAGTGTCCACAGAGTTAGCATTTCTCTAAATGCCGTACCAATGGCTCCAACAGAGTGAAGGTCTGCAGGATCTTGGATCCTGCCTTTGACCATGTCTGGAATCAGATGGGTAGGGAAGGAAGCAGTATTAAAAATAAATAAAATCAGGTGGGATATAGACCTTCCCCTAGTATGTTCTTCCAGTATCTTGTAAGCAATAATTTATTTCGCCAGAAGTTGCATTTGCATTGTCATATTTAATTATCACCATTAGGTGTAATCTCCATAAACTTGTCTACTCCTTTCTGGAGTCTGTTTGCACTTTGAGTCCCCACAGAGTCTTGCAAGAATGAGCTCCATAGTGCCATTACTTTTGTGTGAAATGGTACTTCCTTTTCCTTGTCCCAAACCTGCACATTGCATTGTTCATTGGGTGCTTCCCAGTGTTCAAGCTCTGCAGTGTATTGACTAATGATTCCTCAGTGACCTTCTCCATAGTGTTTCCAATTTTATTAGTTGACCTTCCATGGTTGCTCTGCACCATCTGCTAGCTGCTGCCCACTGTGGTTTGAGCCTTCCATGTTAAGCTGTGTTTGGGGGAAAAAGTGGTTCTAAGCTTTGTGCTTGTAGTACAGGATCATAGCAGCCTGGGCAGTGCTGCTGTCTTCTGTGTAACTTGGCAGAGTTTGGGCTTTTCTTTCTTCCCCGATAACCCACCCTGACTTTCCGGGAAAGTCTCCTCTGTTACTTCCTCCCCTCTGCTGATGTGACCAGACCCTTAAAAATTTATTTCACAGCTAGTGTTAACTTTCAGCCTCTAACACTGTCTCTGTACCCTCCCCACTCAGGTGATTGTGGGCTTGCTGAAGTTCTGGCCAAAAACTCACAGTCCCAAGGAGGTGATGTTTTTAAATGAGCTGGAGGAGATCCTGGATGTGATTGAGCCATCTGAGTTTGTGAAAGTTATGGAGCCCTTGTTCAGGCAGTTGGCCAAGTGTGTCTCCAGCCCGCACTTCCAGGTGGGTTGCAGCTCAGGGAGGGGATGGGGCACTGACTTGTAACCCACTTGGCATGTGAGGGTGACACCACAGCTTTTGGGCTTTTCTTTGTGGATCAGTGGCACATGGAGGTGTGACTGGGGTGAGTATTGGGGTGATGTGGTGGGAGGCAGTGAGAATCCTTACCACAGCCACAGAGCAAGCTCATCCAAAGAGAAAACGAAGCGAATCAGTGGAGCCCCTCCTGCTGCACCGTGCTATTCAGCACCATGTGTTGCAGACGGCTGGAGCTGGAGCAGAGGTGCTCTGCCACCTCCTGTTTTGGCTAGCAATTGAGATCCATCCAGTGTCACCCTGTTGCAGTAAAACCGAGCTGGCTGCAGTATTGGAGGGAGGCCAGCCAAAGAGACAGCGTGCAGAGAAGGTACTTTGTGTTATTCTGGTGTAGGTGATAAAGAGTGAGGTATATTGAAAAAGTGCTAGAGTCTGCTTCTTCCTTGTTCCCACTGAGGGGAAGCTGGCTGTAGTACCAGGCTAAAACAGTCTCCGTGGCTGGTAGTTTTAAGGTTTAAAATTTCCGGGGTGGTAGGACCTGTTAGTAGCTCCTAGCAGGTGTTCTTGGCTCACTGGTTTAGGTTGCCATGAAGAGTGCTCAGGAAGAAGATAGCTTGCTGGTGAAACACATGGCTGACCCAGGTATGGGTGGGGTGTTAAATAGTGACATAGCCCTCCCCCAGAGCGAGTGTGACTGCACAGTGACGCAGACTGGCTTCAGTCTGTCTTTTGGTACAGAGAGGTACAAAGCCATGTGTTCACAAGCCAAAAATGAGGTCGGTCTGGGTCATGTGTGTATGTAAAAGATCACTGTTTCCTGGAAGGGACTGGGGGAGCCTGATGGAAGCCAGCTGGACATGGATTACTGGTGTGGTGATGGGAAGCAAAGGACTATTTTGACCTTTGGGCGTGAACGAAACTTCCATAGGGAACTAAGGAGCTTGAATAAAGTAGGGTAAAGGCTGGGGGAGAGGCATCCTGTACTTGATAGCAGCCCTCAGCTGCTGCCAACTCTTTGAAAAACAAGATTGAAAAACCTGGAGAAGGTGCAAATACTTTACAGCCTAAGAAAATTAACCACAAAGGGATCCCATACAGTCAGGCTGAACAGTCTGTGTCTGCAGTTTGTCTGAGCAAAAATAGGAATTGACTTCTTGGTAAGTCTGAACACCTTAATGGGGGAGAGTTTTCTCTGAGTGGCTTGTGTGTTAATCTAGCAGACAAAGACTTAACAAGATCTAATAGCTGGAAACCAAAGCTAGTAAGTGAATGCAAGGTGAGTTTCACTTTGTTTACTCATGTGGAACAATATGTTAAGGGGATATAGTGAGTTCTCCATCATCTGAAACATAAAACTGAGACTGAATGTCTCTCTTCCTAGGTTTTTAAGCCATTCTCAAGTTAGCACTAAATGCAGAAGTTAGCCTGATGATCTGCATTGCCCTGATTTGTGGTTAAATATGAAGAATTGTGGTTGAATCTATCACTATGTGGAAACTTGTTAGACCAGTTTGTCTTGTTAGAGCAGGATGGCTGCACCAAGATTTTCCATATTTTCACCCTTACTAAATCAGCAGGATGAATTGTAGGCCTAGTGACTGAAGCATGCTCCAGAGCCCAGAGAAACTTTGTTGTGGGGAAGGCCAGGAAGGAGTGGAGCTTTACAGAGGACAGTCTGAGGAAATGAAAGAGGCTTGGAGCTAGTCTGAGCTGGGACCTGGAGTGGATGACATTCCTGTCCTCAAGTGCTGTGTAAAAGGTGTGGGAGTCATCAGTATATCGATGGTAGGCTTGTCTAGTCAAGAACATGAGGCTTTCCCAAGGAAAGCAAGAAGTGTCTGGCAGAGGCTAAGGGAAAGAAGGCTGGTCAGCAGGGATGAATGGCCTTGTAGAAGTTACCGAAGGTCAGCCCTGCTGCCCGCGCTGTGGGGAAGCATTTGCTTCTCGGCTGGGTGGTGGCAGGCTCTGGTCTCAGCACTGCGCAATTTCACTGTGCACTGCAGGTGTTACTGGAAGGAGCCTTTCCAAGGGTGGCTTTCTCTCCCACTGCAGGTGGCAGAGCGAGCACTGTACTACTGGAACAACGAATATATCATGAGCCTGATCAGCGATAATGCAGCCAAAATTCTCCCGATCATGTTTCCAGCACTCTACAAGAACTCCAAGAGTCACTGGAACAAGTAGGTCTCTCCACGTGGCCTGGCGCTTGCTGTGCATGCAGGATTCCTTGACCTACTAGCTATCTTGGGGTGTGCTGCTACAGTGCAATGATGCATGGTGCTTGGTGACACCAGGTGCTGAGCCAGAGGGGTTGTTTGTAGTATCAGCATGGAAAAGTGCCACAGCAGACCACAGTGGCCTGATTCTGCAAGGGGTCAGGCGCCTGCAGTGACCTGCCTTGGGGCCATTGAGTCTACCCAGAGTTTGATACCTGCATATCACTGATGCTGCTGGTCTCCTGGAGGTGTGCAGTAGGTTTTCCAGCTGACTTCTGACTGCTTGTTAATGATCACACATACGCTGCCTGTTACCCGAGACCTTGGCTAATGCAGTACCTGGCTTCTTGAGTACGGGAAGAATGGAGAAAGCAGAACTAACCAGGCAGATGTCCCATGTCAAATTATTGCCCTTTGTGTCTGATTCCTCAATACTAGCCTATATTATGGTTTTCCCATCAAATTCCTTTCTTCCCATGGCTTCTTCAGTCGATTCCTTACCTGTTTAATTCAAGTTGTAAAACTCGCTTCCTGTTAATGAATTGGCTAAAAATACTCAGTCCACAGCTGAGATCCTAAAATCTTCCAGCAAAAACCACAAGACGACAAAAAAAAAGTCATCTTCCCCTATTCTAGAGGGTGGAAAAAAGCAAAATAATTAATTCTAGGGAGGCTAGGTGAGTCCAGGGCTTAAGAGTATACTGTGGTAGCAAAGACAGGGTTGTGAGGTGGAACTTGTTCGCAGAGTGCTCCCTTCTGGTCTGCTGTTTGACTGCTTCCTTCTCTTCGTTGTATCAGGGAGCATGAACTTGAGCCGCCAGTCAAGGGTGCTCTAAAGACTGGGGCAGACACAGACACACAGACGTGAATGCAGACAAACACCCAGATTCACACACGTGTGCACCAACAGGCACATGCATGTGCAGACAGGCACATACATGCACGCATACACACACGTGATGTGTGCGTGCATAAGCACGTGTGTGTGCAGACAGATGTGCAGACACACTCTCGCTCAGTGTTACTGCCCCTCCTGATCAGAGTTCAGAAAAGGACTTTATGTTGTCTGAAACCCTTCACCAGTTCTGTTTCCTTCTTGCATCAGTTAAGATTCATGATTCTGCTGTTTCTGTCTTTTCTTCTCATCTCCTTCCCAGTGATATGGCAGAAGAAGCCCTGAATATGTTTTCCTTTTATTCCTCCTTGTCTTTGTTTTAGGACTAGCCACACCTTCTCAGGGCAGATTGAGTACCTCAGATTCTCCTCTTCCTTCCCATAGCTTGTCTTCTCCAACACTTTGTCAGACAGCCTGCGTAAGTCCAGCAGGTCTGTAGCTCTCTTCCTTATTCCATCTGTTGAGGCGCAAAGCTCAATCTACTGAGTCTCTCATCTTTTGCCTCTGGGTCAGGTATTTCAGAGACAGCTTCAATACTTGGTTTTATTCCCCAGGAGAGTCCTTGTCCCAGAGAGAGCTCACATACAGTGCAACCTATCCATAAATTGCTGACACAAAGTCGTCTTTTCTTCTCTGGTATTCTTTGTGCTGGTTCCCATCTCTATAGGGCTGGTGAATGTCTGTGTTTTGGTCAGCTCCATGACAAAGCTCATGACTGAGTACTGGGCAGCCCAAAAAAAGTTGTTGTGTATATGCAAGGTGAACTGTGGGAGGCACTAAAGCTAGATTAGATAAAGCCCCCTCGAGAACAGCCCTGAGCAGGTCCCTAGCATCCTTCCTTTCCAGTTTCTAACTGCAAGAAATAAATGTGTGAATGCATGCTTTTGCACTTACTAGTTTGACCACAGTGGAGCAGACCTGTCCCAGTGGTCTCCTCTTTCTTCTCCGTCTCTTTCTCCCTGTGCAGTAATCTCTGCTGTGTTTGTGGAGGGGATTTTCTCATGCTGAGAGATGGGATTGTGTGAAAATCTTTTGTCACATTGCTGTAGTATATGAGTTGCTGCTGCTGTTAGCTCTTGTCTGTGCTGCTGGTGCTAACTCAGGGCTGAGAACCTGGGGAATACCACCGTGACTTGTTCTCCTTTCCTCATTTCTTTGCAGGACAATCCATGGGCTGATCTACAATGCACTGAAGCTGTTCATGGAGATGAACCAAAAGCTTTTTGATGACTGCACGCAGCAATACAAGGCAGAGAAGCAGAAGTGAGTAAGAGGTTCTTGCCAAGCAACTTGAGCTCATCCTGGAGTCTCCTTGGGGTACAGTAACAGATGGTAGATGCCAGTAGGCAGAGGGGAAATGGAAAGGTGGTGCAAATCATTTTGTCAAAAAGTAGGATTCCTTAGCGATAACCATGTGTAGGGACAGGAAGAGGTAAAATGTGTGTCCTGATAAAAATCCTTTCAGTTCTGCTGAAGCAGGTAGCTTGGAAAAGAGTGACAGAGTTTGCTGGATCATAAGGAAATAAATTGCAATGTAGAGGATACTCAGCTTTGCAGAGACACTTATGCTTTGCCTTGGAAATATCTACCAGTTTGTATATGTCATAGTGATGCCAGTGGAATCCTGCTGCTTTAGAAAGGCTTTTCTGAAGGGCTTTGCTGCAGTGGGCGTAATGCATCTTTCCTGCCTACAGGACAGTTTCAGTTTTCCAGTAATAAAGATGGAATAATACCTAGAATTTCAAGGAGCAAATGGTGGGGATAAAATCTGAGCCCAGCAAGTACCTGTGCCATGATGCTGTAAAAACCTCCCCTTTTTCTCCTTCCTTGTGCTGGTTTTGGTGCCTGTAGGACTTGCCTTGGTGTGCTGAGTCAGTTCAGTAAGCTAGAAGGAAACTTTTTTTTTCCCCCTGTGTCTGTTTTCTGTTGACTTACTGATATAAAGTAGTGGTTGAGCCAGGGCTGCCACAAGGGTGGCAGTGGGGAGAGCAAGGCTAACCCTTGCTGGCAGTGGGGAGCTCTGGGATATGTTCAGTTGTTTTGTGAAATAGTAATAAATAACAAAGTTGAGATATGAATCAGAGATTGGGGATGGGTAATGCATATGGACAAATTAAGGTTTTGTTGACATCCAAATTGGGAGCAAGCAAGATTATTTTTTTTTCCCATTCTAGGACATTTGTGAAGCCCACAAATGTCTGCACATATATTTTAAGTCACAGTGACAGCACATTTACTATGAGATCTACCAGATGTTTCCATCAGGAGCTTTTTCTACCTGTTTAGCTTCTATCCATGCTGATCTGCTGAGGGTGACTGTTCCCAGCATTGATGTGTGTCTGATGGAGGATTGTTCTGGAAAAGGTCAGCAAAGCAGCTCAGAGCTGTCCAAGAAATGGATGGGTAGAGCTGCACTGTTTTCTGCTTGTGTTAAGATTATTTTTTTTTTCTCTAATGCCTCTCTGCCTAATTATACTTCAGAAACCTTGTGTTGGGTTTTTATCAAGGATATACCTTTTGGTCTCCTAGATAACCAAATTTGGTAAAATGTCAGTTGAAGGCTTGGTGGGCGGGATGTGAAAATGTCCTTTAGCAGCTGAATCTGAGGATACAATTGCTCAGCTAAGTGGGATTCCCCTGCTACAGAGACCCAGCTAAGGAGGCCTTTCTGGGTGAAAAGACGGCAGCTCAACTCTGCTGTCACTAGCCCAGCATTAGCAGCTGTTCCTGGCTTGAGAATTGTGAAAAGGTGCCCCTCTGAAGGGATGCTAGAGCTGGGAGAGAACATTGTGAAAGGTCTGTAGGGACAGGCTGGGAAACAGCTAGAAAGGGAAATTGGCGGTCGAAGGAAATGGGGTAGGACAGCAGGCTGGGGGGAAGGAACAGCTTATCTGGGCAAGGAGGTAGAAAGGAGGTAGAGACTTTGGGCAAAGGTACAGTGAAGAGCCGGGGTAGGGATGGGGGTAGTGTTGTTCTTAATGCCAATGGATAGTAGGAATGGGATAGGTAAAGGGAACAAGTTAAAGGAGGAGAAGTGAGATCAGGGTTTGTTGGGCAAGGGGCTTAGGACTGGACAAGACATAGGACAATGATGGGTGAAAAGAGCCTGTGCTTGGAAAATGGATTAGAAACCTGGGTTTACTAGAGCAGTGTGCCTGAGCTCTTTGCTGAAGTCCACTGTGAAAATGTCATCTTTTCCCTCCATGTCTTTGAAATATCCAAGAAATATAAGCAAATCCAAGTGCACTTAACACTGTGGCTGGAGTGGGATACAGTAAGTCATTGCTGGAATGAACGGGGTTAGAAAAGGGCTGTTTCACAGGCAGGAGAATGTGTTTTTTAGTGGTGTCTCCCTGGTGGAAGAGACTTGTTTCGTAGCTGAAGAGTCTGCCTCAGAGCTAGGGTGCCACTTCTGCACTTCCCCTACCTGCTCTTCTTTTCACAAAGTGCTGTGACCTGTTCTAGTGAGCAGCAGGTCCTGTTGCCTCCCTTCCAGTGGAGAAGACACGCTTCATCCACAGCTCCTTTCTGCTGCCTCCCTGGCAGAGCTGACCGCAGGCCATGTCTGTTGGTGGACAGTAACGTGGTGTTGCAGTCAATTGCCATTTTCTTTTCAAACACAGAGACTTAAACTGAGAGGAAATAGTGCTCTTTTTTTTTCCTAACCTGTGAAGCTGTGATGTTGAGTGCTTCCAGAGTAAAGCAGTGTGCCAAAGGCTGCCTGTGGGAATCCTGGCTGGATCACTGTAATGCAGGATTGACCTTTAACTGTGAGATGCCTTGCTTTTTCCATGGGACCTCGACCTTATTCAGTGAGATGGATGAGTTTGAAATGCTGAGGCTTCTTTAGCATAGACAGAAGGAGGAAGAGAGACCTATGAAGTGTTTTCCCAATGAGCTACTAGAGACCTTGTGCTATGAAATAGAAAATATCACATGTGGGAAGGACTGTACGTGCAAACAAAGCCAGTAAATGTGAAACAGTGAAAAGGAGAGAGCTTGTAGGTACACAATTAGGCTGCCACCAGATGTTGAGAGGCCTGCTCAGAAAAGGCTTAGCCATGTTTTTAATTAGTTACCATGCCTACAAGTGACATGCCACAAGTGACCACTGCACCTCTGGCTGTGCAGCTGCAGCCAAGGCTGGTCATGGAGGGACAGACTCTCCCTGGGACAGGAGGGGAGGCTCTCTAGTGTTCAGTGCAGGTGGACTGACTGCATCTTATTACTCTCCCTGGGCATCCTGAAGCTGTTTGTATTATCAGAACCCTTCAGAAAAGAGTGGGTAGGTTGGGGCAGATAGTGTCTTGTCCTGAATGTGCCCTTCTGTAAAAGTGCGGGGGACCTTGAACACTGCCTTTTGAAAAGGGTGGTGTCAGCATGCCCTGGGGCCACGCTGACACCTGACATCTCTGGTAGCAGCTACCTTGCCTTCTTCTGCTTAGGCCATAACGGGGAAGAAGGAGATGCCTCCCAATATAGCTCTTCTTTTCCAAGTGTCCTGCCAGTGGCTTTCTCATACTGGTGGTAATGGGGTCAGGAATGAAGGGAGCTGATGAGGTGCCCATCACCTAGAAAGCAGGGCTGGGGGTGCTGCTTATGTAGACTCAGCACTGTCCCGTGAGGCTTTGCTGTTCAGAAAGGTAGGATTCTTGAAAGACTCACATGGATGAGTGAAACTCTCAGATAAACTGCGGTGGAAATGTCCTAGTGTAGGAGGTAAAGCTAGGCTGATTGATGAGGCCGGGAGGAAGCTTCCCCTACAGAGGGATGTTGGACAACAGTAATCCTACAGTTAAGTCAACATGGCATCAAAATAAAAATGAAACTTTGTTTTATTCTTTGTAAATACTTGTTTGGCTGAAAAGAGTGATGATCACAGGTGTAAAGCTTTCAGATTTTTGGAAGCATTACCCTTAGTCAGACTGGGTATTCTCTTTGCGAGGGGTGTTTTGCAATATCAGTTGAGCATATGATGGGTAAACTGGTGGATCTCTACGTGCAATGAGGAGTGGAGGGCTTCCCCAGTGCAATTCAGGCTGCTTTGGTGATCTGAAAGGAAAGAACTGGTGCTGGAGATGCATGGAGCTGAATGACTGGAGCTCACTGTGTCCCAGACCAGTAATGTGATGTAGTCCAGCCAAATAAAATGAGCTTTCTTACACCCTTATATGGCATGATGGCAGACATGATACTGGCGAAGTAGACATTGCTTTGGAGGGGCAGTGGCCTTCGTGATGTGAGGGCCTTTGTGGGCAGACATATTGGTCTGCATTTCCAGTGGCAAGATTGGAGTAATATGTATGTTTCTGTTTATCAGTCATTAAAAAGGGTTATGGAGAAAGTGGGGATGAGGCAGGAAGGAGCTAGGGGAGATCAGTGCTAACTCCTGCTCACAGTCCCCTGCAGAGATCTCCAGAGCTCTGTCAAAAAATGAGGTGTGGGTTATTCATTTGGGGTTTTAGGGGGCAGGTGGGTTGGGGTTTGACCCTATGTTCTCTGATGGAGTTGTCTGCTGCTTGAATGCTTGGCAGCTTCATTCTCATTTTTAGACTCCTTTTTTACTTGTATTTCAAGAGTATGAGGTGATGACAGAATATAAGAACTTCCTTAGTATGGATGGATAGGGCACTAGAGAGACCAGTAGCTGGGATGAAAGCCAGATAGTTAGTTAAAACCAGAAATAAAGCAAAGATTTTAGTGCGGATGTTTGAAACGTAGAAGAGGATAACAAGGAGTGCTGGATGCTCACCTCTGTTCACAGGGAACGTTCACTGTCCTGGGATTTACAGGTGGCCCAGTTGAATGGTCACTTAAGGTCTGTGCCAAAATCTGTCAAGTTTGAGAGCTGTGCCTGAGGGTTTGGGCGGCTCTCTGGTGTGTTACGGCCAGAGAGAGAAGGAACTGTGGGCAGTTGAACCCCAGCTCTGCTGGAAATGGCACTTTGTCCCTCTGCATCTGTGGGGCACCAGGAAAATGTGTATTTGACATCCAAACCGGTGTCATTGCTTTACTCTAGAAACCAGTTGCTCTGGTCCATCCTGCAGCACAAAGCCAGGGAAAAAGTACCTGTGCAGCCCACTGCTGCCACCCTCTGCTCTGAAGTGAGCGAGGAGCGTGCCTGCCTACCTCCTCCCAGCTGCAGTGTGTCCCCTCTTCTTGCCACATCTCACCTGTAGATAGAATTAGGGGTCTCTGAAGGGTGGAGCAGCTCTTCCCCTCGCCTGCACTCTTCTGCTGTTTCTTGCTTTGGTCTTCCTGTGAGAAAAAGCAGCGCTTTCCCTGGGAGTTCACACTTGCGCTCTCGCTCTCTTTCTCTCTGCAGGGGAAGGTTCAGGATGAAGGAACGAGAAGAAATGTGGCAGAAAATAGAGGAGCTGGCCCGGCTGAACCCCCAGGTGGGTAACAGCAGCACCTAGGATGAGTGTGCTGGGGGTCTCAACCTGCTTCCTCAGCTCATGAGAGCAGGCTCTGGCACCTGATCTCAGGCCTGTGCACACAGCTGCAGCAGTGGTCTGTCTTTCCCAAAACCCAGTGTCATGGGGATGCTGGCAGTTTTACCAGCCTGGGCCTCTGTAGCACTGACCTCTAAGTAATGCCTGACAGGGAGCACGTACGTGGTTATGGACTCCTCTCAGCTGTGGCTGCACATGCAGTGTGCTGTGGCTCAGAGGGCATAGGTAGGAATGGGTAGGAGAAGATGCTGCTTTCCTGTCTGTGTACCTACTGCTACCTTGGCGGGCGGCTGGAGGAGGCATGCCATGCTGTGTTAGGGTGCTGCGGGGAGAAGGCTTGGCGTTGGATGGCATGCTGACTGTCCAGCTGTCTGTGTTGTCTGCAGTACCCCATGTATTACGCACCTCCACCATTGCCTCCTGTCTGCTGTATGGAAACGGAGACCCCAACTGCAGAGGATATACAGCTACTGAAGAAAACGGTGGAAACAGAGGCTGTGCAGGTGCGTAGGTCACTAGCGTCCTTCCACAGTTACTCTCAGAGTAGCCAGGACATCAGCATAGTTAGTCCAGGGTCCAGCAGTCAGAACTGGCTCTTTCAATGTGTTCTGAGAGTAAATGCCCCTGTTCTCATCCCTGATCTTTAGAGATCAACCTGTAGTCTGAAGAGGAGTTTATCTAACCTTCCCATTCTGCAAAACGTGCAAGTGGGACTTTTCTGCGTCCTTTTGGTCTGTGTTTGGCTCTCAACCTGTGCTGCAGCATCACCCAGCATATCCTAGAGCAGTTGAAGGCAGAGAATGGAGAGGCCAGAGGGGTGAAGGGGTTTGCTACTGATCCCTGACTCCTTTGTTTTGTCTGTAGATGCTGAAAGATATTAAGAAGGAGAAAGTTTTGCTGCGCCGGAAATCTGAGCTTCCTCAGGACGTCTACACTATAAAAGCCCTGGAGGCCCACAAGAGAGCAGAAGAGTTTCTCACCTCAAGCCAGGAGGCTCTCTGACGGGCTCAGGAGCTGGCCTGGGAAGCTCTGCCCCATCCCTTTCCCCCAGGGGTCACAGAAATGCACTTGGTTCTCATGTATAAATAGGGAATGAACATGGTGAGCTGTGCCTGTCCTCCACTCCATCCACATCCCTCCAGGGTAGATCTGGTTTTACGTTATAACTTGTATCTCACCACTGTCATGTCCTCTTGCTTTTCCTCCTTCCTCCTGCTTTTCCACCTCGGGTGTGCGTGCACAAAGGGAGCCTGCCTGACCTGTGATCGGATCAGCCCAGGCAGGAGTCGCTTCATTTCCAGCTGCCGCCTGGTCCCTACTCTGCCTGGGAGCCAGAGCCTTGCTGCCGTGCAACACGGGCTGTGTGGGCCGGAGACTACGGCGCGTGGCTCAGCATGCTGCTATGAGCCCCAGGTGCCCGTCTCCACCATGCCTGCCCCCGCGCTGCCTGTGCAGCCAGGCCCTGCTGCGGTCAGAGGTCAGGCTGTGCTCGGGGCAGGAGCGCGTGGCAGTTTGCGGTGGCGCCGCCGCCTCTCTGCCCTGCCTCGGGGTGCAGCTCCGCAGAGGGAGAGTCTCACATACAGCAGAGGAGATGCTCACTTCCAGCCTTCTTTTGCTTCAGGCCCCTTGTTCTGTTCCCCTGTCAGTGAAGTAGGGGTTCGGTGCTTCGCCACCCCCAGTAAAGCTGGGTGCAAGCACTACGTGCTATTGAAGCCCTCCCTTTAGAGCATCCTTAGAAGCTCTCTTGTGGGAAAGTGAATTCCTTCAGCTGTTTGTGTTGGTCCATGCTGACTTGTCTCCATCCTGCTGTCTTGGGTTAATTGTGGGCCAGAATTAACTTCCCGCTTTGTAGCAGGTGTCAGCCACTGACTTTGCTTTCTTCCTCTACCTGCTCAGTTGAAATACTCCTGCAGCTCTCCCTGTTGCTGTGTCCCATCCTTAGCTCTGCAGTGGCCAGGGTTTCTAGGAAGCTTGTGCTGCTAAAGTAGTGGAAGCAATGGATGCACGTTACGGGGCCAGGCTGAGTTTCTTGAGTGTCCAGTTGTCTCTTCTCTAGGATCAGTGGCTTAGGTGCTACTGCTGGATGCTTCCGTGGGTGCTCTGAGCAGTTTGCCTTGCCCTGTTGCTTTGGCACCTGCTGTGGCCCGAGGCCCTTGTTCTCATACGGTGCATCGGGGACTTGCCATGCTAATTTAGCGTTTAGAGTGCACTTGCTGATAGCCCAGGGGGTTGTGCAGCACTTGGGTGCTACTGTGATCCAGCTTTCTCTGCTACCTTCCGTAGTGCAGATTCGGTGCCAGGCCAAGGTGCCACCTCAGAGAGGCTGGCTTGTGATAGAAAAAGGAGTCTTCCTTGCTTCTTACCTGCTGTGCTTGCTTTCTCGACACATAAGCTTAAGTGGGTTTGCAATAGTGCAGGGAGCTTACGGGGTTGGTACTAGTCTGCCACTGCTTTGCAGCATCATGGGATCTTGCAGAAGGTCCTGGTGTATCTGCTTGTCCTCACCAGTTAGCCATTCCCAGGTCAGAGGTCCATCCCCTAACCTCACTGCTGGTATGCAGCACATCTTTCCTCTAACCCAAACTAAGCTGTTTTTTCCCTGTATATCCTGCACCCGCTGCCCTGTTTAGCTCTTTCAGTTCGGCCCACATTAGGCATGCCACCATCTCCTAGGAGCAGCAGGCAGGCGTGAGTACGTGCGTGATCACCCACAGTCACGCAGGACCCCGCCTCCCCTCTGCTTCGTGCAGTGGGCCAGTTCATCAGGAGACTTATGAAACACCTCAGGGAGGTTATTGCTTATTTTGAACATTAGTCCGAGCTCATGGTCAGCTGCCAATCAATTACCTCACACCTGGCACAGCGTGTAGATGTGCACTGGGTGATGCTGGGTGGCGCACAGGAGCGGCAGGTGTCTCAGGGCACAGTGGAGATGAGGACTGCTGAGCGCCACCCGCAGCAGGGCTCCGGAGGACGTCTCTCCCCGTCGCAGTACAGGCTTTCCAACTTGTCCGCTTAGCGTTGCGTTAGAAAGCCACTGCCTTGTTTCTAGAGTGCTACAGCATGCGTGTGCCCTCACTCGAGCCTGCTTGCTGCTAGGCAGTGGCTGCCTTTCCCTGCTGCGGGCTGTTCTGCCTGCAGAAGGAACAGGCTTCTGGTGTGTAGAAGCTGTCACTGT